CCATCAGCCTTCCTCTGATTCTCTGTGATTTAAAAAATGCATATGGCAATGGTAATACGTGTTTAAGGTAATGTTAAAATTTCATGGTGGTGTTCCCCTGACAAGATGGTGACGGGTGTCCAGTGGGTAGAGATGAGAAGGCGGGCCAAGATGGCACCACTTGCCTTCCACTCCCCACTGAAGTAGGTACACTCTCTTCTGCTGGATCTGACTAGTAGGCCCTTGGTGGGTTTAGCACACAGGTTTTTCTTTCTGTAAAAGGTCAGAAGAATTTGTTGGTGGTCCGCTCTTGAGCTGGGGCATAGGATGGTTCCTGCCATGTGGAGACTGAGAACTGGACTGGAAAAGACCCCGCCTGTGAGCTGCAGCCGGAGACACGGGGTGCAGTTTAATTCAGCACACAGCTGTTGGGCGCCTTCGCTGTGCCAGGAGTTGTGGAAGGTGCTGGAGGAACAGAGAGGAGTACGATTTGGCCTCCACCCTGGAGGCGCTCAGCCTATTGGGAGTGGTACGGTGTGGTGGAAGGATGGTGGAAGGAGAGGGCCCAAGTGTGCCAGCGTTTCCTTTCATTTCTTCCTCCTCAAAGCACCTGACCCACTCGTGGCCTAGAGGGGGCTCCCAAACACTGCAGGCTGCCTGAGCTGAGGTGAGCCAGCTGGAAGCCCTGCCGGGAATTTGGAATAGAGATGCTAAGGCGGAATTTCAAGTGGAGCTGGGGAAGGCGCGTGCAGAGAGACAGAACAGGACCCAGGTGGAACCCAGGGAGGCCGCGAGGGTAGCTGTGTCTGCTCCCCTTCCCGGACACCTGCCTGGCACCTGTGCCTGGTTTCCCCAAGGACCCTGGTGTCTGCACAGGTCGCCATCTTACTCTGAGCTAATTTGAGTGGATTTTGTCCCATTTGATGAAACGTTCCTTAGGAAGAAAGGTGCAGGGAAGGGGGAGCACACTGCAGCCGAGCTGGAAGGGCGAGTGGACGTGTGTCCCCGGCAAACACCGTGGTGTCTTTCTTGCTCTGAGCGAGGGTATTTTGCATTTAGCAGATGTCCTGCTGCTATATGGAGATTCATGGTGTATGAATTTTCGTGTTTTTTAGTTTTTGAAAAGTCGATGTTAGTTTTGTGTAAAGTTTCCCAGCTGAGCTGTGAGGAAGAAGGAAAGCTTCTGTTTCTTGGTTGGGTTTTGTTCGCAGACTGGCCTTGGGGCAGCGCGGGGGAGTGAGGCAGGCCCAGGACGCCGCGGGAAGGGGAGAGGACCAGCGGTGCGTAGTGACCGGAGCAGGAAAGCTGGGAGTCCCTTTGTAGTCGGGCACCTTCTGCTAGAGACTTACTTCAGAAATGTTCAAATTCTTGAAAAAAATGGGGCTGAAAGGAGAAGACGTTCCCTTTACACAGCTTTCCCTCGCGTGAGTCGCTGCACGGCACACCTGTCGCCTCCTTTCCCGCTGCGACCTTCTCTGCGCGCTCAGTGCGTGGATTTCCCACAAGCATTGCTGTGACTCAGCCCACACAGCTTGATACATGGTCATTATGTTTTCATCGAAAACATTGTTTTAATATCCTAGACACACACCTACCTGTTATTAACATAGATTTCATATTCCAAGTGTCTAGGTTTTTTTAGTCATAATTATTTCTAATTTTATTACATTTTGTTTGAGAAGTCCTAGTGCATGCAGGTGATTGGTTTTTACATTTACTTTCCTCGTGGCCTTGTGTTTCATTAGTTATGACAAACACTTTATAAGTGTTATTTCAGGAACACCCAATTTGGGATGGTTTAACGTAGAATCTCAGTTTTTGATGTTCTTATGAGGAATGAATGTTTTGGTCATTTCTTTGGGAATCTTATGATTATGACTGTTCAGGGACTGCAGCCAGTGTGAAAACTTTGCGACCACACCTGGCCGTGGGCACACCCAGCCAGCCTGGGGAGCAGGCCCCCAGACGGCAGACGGGGGTCGTGGAAGGGTGGTGGCACGTGCTCCCTCTCGCCTGGCGTCTGGAAACAGGCATCCTCGCACACAGCGTAGAAAGAGGAGCGTTTCTGAAACAGATGACCCTAACGGTGAATGTATTTCAAAGGATTTGGGAGCAATAAGGGGTGTTGTTGTCTGCTGTATGGATGATTGGTCAGAAAAAGAAAAACATCTTCAGTCCAAATGTCATTGAACTTGGTATCTCATATTTTAGGTCCGCGGACCTAAATACCAGTACATGGCCTGTTAGGGACCAGGCCGCAGAGCTCCACTGTCCCCCTGCCCACTGTGAAAAAAATTGCCTTCCATGAAGCCAGTCCCTGGTGCCAAAAAGGTTGGGGACCGCTGTTTCAGGTGATCTCAGCAACTCTGGTTCAGGAAGAGAAATTACCCCAAAGGAGTATTCATTTTCATGGCTCTTATATTAAGTATTTGGTTATGTACTTGGTAAAGTTTATAATTTTTTTTCATGGTTAACTTAGGCATTCTCATCGTAGGAAGTGAGTTTCTATGAACAGAACCCCAGTACATAGCATTTTACCTACAGGAAATAAAGTGGCCCAACTTTATATTTGAGAAAAACTTTTTTTAAGTTTAATGCCATGTCACCTTAATTAGTAATATGGTAGCAGTGTGAAACTTCATTGTTTGGGGTATTGTATTCTGTTGTGGGGCATTTAGAATCCTGCTCACCTGTTCAGTTTCTCATCATATTCCTTTTGTATGTTTTGTTCATAATTTGGACTACACATTCACGTATACATTTCTTCAAGTTTTTTCATTATTTTATGTGCTTTTTATCTCTATATGGAGTCATCCTTCACTGTGTTCCATTTCCGTGTTTGTTTTGTTTTGTCCTGCGTAGTTTTTTTTTACTCTGCAAAACTTGGCCGAGCTCAAATGACATTGCATTGGAGTAGGAGGGAATCCACTCATTCTTCCTTAAACTTATGCCAGTTTTTGCTGCTATTGCTGGGTATTTTCTTAGTTTCAGGACTTGCTTTTCTTTCTATCTTAATGGGATTTCTTTAAGGGGGCCATTCCCAGAGTTTTATATTTCAGTGGGGTTTTTTGGGCTTAAAGTCAACTTTCTTTTTACAACATAAGCTGTGTGTATCCTTATACAAGTGTTTGTGTGTATCTGAGTCCCCTGTCCTTTCATCTTAGTCTCTTCTGGTCTTACTGATACTTTGTCCCTCCTAGGTAGCGCATAGTTGCAGAGTCGGGTCAGACCACAGTGGCTCCCCTGGCGT